CCAACTCAATGGCACCTAACAACAACAACATAGGGTTGCCAGAGTTTTTTGCATTTGAATATGTCCTTCTCACATGAGAGCAGACTGAACCTGAGTTGTGTTGTTGCTGTTGTTGTTAAGTGCCATCAAGTTGGTTCTGGCTCATAGGGACTCTGTATAATGTTTCCGAGGAGCAGCTGATGAGTTTGAACCACCGGCCTTGTGGTTCTAACCAATCTTGCAGTTGAGTACTTACTCTGCTGCACCACACTGGGACTCCAAGTCATAGAAGACTTAAAAATATTTTGGAAGCTCTAAAATTATGAAACATCTGTCTTCCTCCAATTCTGTAGCTACCCACATGACAAAAGGGTGAGGAACTGGCATAAAACTGGCAAACTGCCTTTCACCTGAGAAACCTCAGACCCTAACTTTTCCTTATGAGTTCCTGGCATTTTATGATCTTTTGAAGCTGCCAATAAAAATGTGGCATTAAGCATAGCCTACCTACTGCTGTTGACTGGGTTCATACTCATAGTGTTTCTGAGATAGTAAATCTAGATGGAAGCGGACAGCTTCATCTTTCTCCCATAGAGCCGCTAGTGGGTTTGAACCACCAAACTTTTGGTTATTCCACATCACCACCAGGGCTCCTTTGATCAGACATAGAGGTGATTGTGTCAGATATCTGTACTTATTAGATGAAGGAGCTCTGGTAGCGTAGTGGTTATGAATCAGGCTGTGAACCGCAAGGTCAGCAGTTCGAAACTACCAGCTGTTCCGTGGGAGAAAGATAAGGCTTTCTGCTCCCATAAAGATTTACAGCCTCGGAAACCCTGTACAGGGTCGCTATGAGTTGGAACCGACTCCACCGACTCCACGGCACTTAACAACAACAGCATTAGATGAAAAGAATGGTATTTGCACTATAGTCTATTTGGGGAGGAGAGGGATCTGAAACTTGAAGATCTGTACAGATGTTTTGCTAGTGTTGCTGTTAAGTGTTGATGAGCCAGTTCTGACTCATAGCAATCCTGTATAGGGTTTCTGAGGAGCAGCTGGTAGATTTGAACTGCTGACTTTGTGGTTCGCAGTTCAGTACTGATTCTACAGCGACACACCTAGCATAGGTGTTGTGTTAAATTAGTACAAAATAAAGCTCTATGCAAGCATATGCCCATTCTAAGCCATTTGATAGAGATTCTGTAGTAGTGAAGGGATGGAAATGGAGGGTAAGGAAGGTTTTTTGTTTTTGTTTCTTTCCTTCTGTGAGCTCACCACCAAGGCTATTTTAATATTGTTGTTACTGAGAGTTGTTGAGTTGGTTCTAACTCATAGTGACCCTGTATAGCACTATAGGTTTCTGAGAAGCAGCTGGTGAGCTTGAACACTATATAATTTAAACATTATAATTCCACATAAAAGGATATCTTAAGATTGCAAACTTATTACCATGTTATCATTAACACGATCTAAGGCAAATGGTGAACCTCTCAAAGTACAAGAATGGTGAGAATGGAGCATTTTCTATAAGAACAAATTAAAAAAATTTTTTTTAAATGACAGTTATAATAACTAAACTTATAAATTTTGCTTCTTATTTATCTGTAGTCACTAAAGGAAATGATACTTTGATCATGTACATACATTTCCTCATTAAACCAGTTTTCCATGAGTTGTGTTGCTATTGTTAAGTGCTGTCTAGTCAATTCTAACTCTTAGCCACCTTGTACAGGCTTTCTGAGGAGCCACTGGTGGGTTTGAACCTCTGACCTTTCAGTTCAAGCCAATTTCAAGGTCCAATGCTTTATCCTACAGCACCACACCAGAACTCCCAGGACTAGATAGTGATTTTTAAATAAGTGGAAAACAGAGTTTTTGATCTGAAATATACAATTGAAAGAAAATGATGGAACGAACTTCCCTTTTATCACCATCTCATTTGCGCTCCTAACTAAAAAGTTGATGACTTGAATCCACCCAGAGGCTCCTTGGACTTAGTGCTTTGCTTTCAAAGGGTCACAGCCTTGAACACCTCATGGAGCAGTTCTAGTGTTTACACCATGAGTCAGATTGCTTCCATGGCAACTGGTACAACTGGTATTAGTTGTTACAGTAAGCCAGCTTTCTCCCACAGTTTCATTAATGATTCTTAAATAAATGGAAAACAGTATTTGCTCTGATCTGTGCATGGCATGAGCATCCCTATGTTATTTTCATGTAACTTTAGAAGCCAGTACTTCTCTCCCTCTTTTCAAATCTTTCTTTTTCTTACCCTCGTATATGTTTTCATTTTGAATAATCTAATAAAATCATGCTTTCTATATATTAAAAAAAGAAACCCTAAGTATGGCATATGTTTACAGAATTACAGAAGAAATTTATTGCCAAGATCCAAAATGTAGGATGTCCAAATTTTTGTTATCAATCATTATACATTCACGGATCACGTTTCTGTCAGGCAGTTGCTCATTGTAGACATTGAGAATCATAAACACTTTTGACATTATAAATTATGTTAAGAATGTTGAGGAGACAGTTTTTCCAAAGTATGTATTCAATTTGTGTACGGGTTTAGATTGGGCCCAACATTTTATGCTCCCTCTGAAACAAGGCTTTTTGCCTTCAGAATATTTACATGTGATGAGATAGAAATCATTATCAAGGTGTATGTCAATGGATTTTGTAGTGTGATATGAAAGGAATTTGATTGTTTGGGATGGAGGTTCTTTAGATCTGTATATTTGCTTACTGCAGTGATTTTTAGTAAAAGTCAGGGTAATCAAAGAACTATAGGGTTATTTGATGATGTCTGTATATTTTTCTTAAAAACTAAATTTAAAAATATATTAAATAATATAAAGTTTTTGGTTTTTTAAAATACTGTATCTTATTAGCTATTGTAAGTCCCTGGATGGGACAAATGCTTATGTGCTGGACTACTAACCACAATGTTGGCAGTTCAGACCTTCCCAGGGGCTCCTCAGAAGAAAACCCTGAAGATCTGCTTTAAAAAAACCACAGCATCAAAACCCTAGGGAGTCTTACTGTGGTTCTGCTCTGCACATAGGTGGTCGCCATGAATCTGAACTAACTCCACAGCATAACTAACTGGTTTTCGTGGTTATAGTAAGATGACTTCTCCTGACAGCTTCACTAGTTGAGGCCTAAATGGAGGAGGACATGCACTAATGATTTTTGTGATCTCCCTTTGACCTAGAATATGGCTACAGCACAGTGGCTGTGACACTCCTCACACTGGGCTCCATGCTTGGAACAACACTGATCCTTTTTAACAACTGTCAAGAGAACTATAGGCTTATTCTACAGCTGTTTGTGGGCTTGGCTGTTGGGACACTTTCTGGGGATGCCCTGCTACACCTTATTCCTCAGGTAATCTGCTGTTTTCCACTTCAGATGAAGTCTTTCTCATTTCCACTTATATTTAGACACTGGAGATATTTGTGCAAATCTTGACAGCAACTTTGATGAAGAAATACAGTGTCTGGTATTTTTCTTGAAAGTGTATATTATTTCCCCAAAGTATCTCTGCATTTGTTCGAGAGAAGAGATGATGAAATGTTAGGTCCACTACATGTTATTCTTGTTTTTGAAATGAAAACGTGAAGAGATGTAGAGTCCTATTAAGAAACATTCAGAAAATACATGTAATTCTATTTGGGTGTTGGGAGTGAGAAGTGGTAGAATTCTCCCTTTCCATTAGAGAGACTCAGTTTTTATTCCCAGTCAGTGTGCCTTGAGTGCAACCATCAGTGGAGGCTTGTGTGTTGCTATGATGCTGAATAGCGATTTGTAGTGGAGATTACAGAAAAATATGCACTAGGAAGAAAGGTCTGGTGATTTACTTGGGAAAATCAGTTCATGAAAACCCTGTGGATCATGATTTCCTGGTGAAGCACTGCGGGTTAATGCGCTGCTCTGCAAAGTCGGTTTGAACCACAGGGTCAGTGGTTCAAGATCACTAGCAGTTCCTCAGAAACCCTATACAGGGTCACTATGGGCCAGAACCAACTTGACAGAACTGAACGACAACAGTGGATCACAATGATCTGGTCTGCACCCAATCATGAAGATAGCATAGAACTGGGTGCCAACTTGATGGCAGCTAGCAACAACTTCATACTAATTATCCACAGATAAAAAAGGTTAGGCTTTGAAATATTTGCTGGCTATTCTCCAGCTGCCTCCCACCCTTATAAGATCCATTCTTTGCTCTTCTTTGTATTCTTTGTCCCTGAAGCGTGACTTCAAAGGACTGCAATCCCCCATCCCATTACAGGATGGGTTTTTGTTTTGATTTAATCAATAAGCTCTGCAACAGACAACTCAGGGGAGGAGGAGAGAGAGGCAGGGGTATTTCCTCCCCCTTGAAGATTTTGGCATTGTCTTTAAAAGTAATCTGTCCGCCCCCATCTCTACAATTCCAGTGAGAGATCTCTCCCTAACAACTTCAGTTCTCACTAGGCTCCAGTTACATGATTTACTCCCTCTACCCTTTGTCATATAAAGGAGCTCTGGTAGTGTAGTGGTTATGAATCAGGCTGCGAACCATAAGGTCAGCGGTTCGAAACTACCAGCCACTCCGCGGGAGAAAGATGAGGCTTTCTACTCCCATAAAGATTTACACCCTTGGAAACCCTGTACAGGGTCGCTATGGGTCGGAACCGACTCAACAGCACTTAACAACAACAACAACCCTTTGTCATATGGTGGTGGCTTGTAAATTGCTGTGATTCTGAAAGCTATACCACCGGTATTTTAAATACCAGCAGGGTCACCCATGGTGGACAGGTTTCATGAGCTTCCAGACAAGACAGACTAGCAAGAAGGAGTGACGAACTACTTTTGAATATTTAGTCACTGAAAACCTTATGAATAGCAGAGAAACACTGTCAGATATAGTGCTGGAAAATTAGTCCCTCAGATTGGAAAAGAAGTGAGGTTGACCCAGGATCGGGCAGTGTTTTGTTCTGCTGTGCATAAGGTTGCTATGAGTTGGTACCGACTCAATGGCACCTAACAACAACAATAACAACAACCATTTAATGGAGTCCTGGTGTGGTGCCACGGGATAATGAACTGAAGCACAAGGTCGGTTTGAACCACAGGGTGGACGGTTCAAACTCACCAGCCGCTCCTTGGAAACCCTCTGTGGGATCACTACAAGTCAGAACTAACTCAACGACTCTTACCAACAACCCTTTAATGGTTTACCAGGCTTTCTAGTCTCTAGGTACCCATGTTGGTACCCTTGACCTTGGAACATCTTTGTAATGGTCCAGTTATTAAAGGTTCTTCACTTGAACCACCTGACTGTGCTTCAGCTTGCCTGCCTAATGGTGTTTAGATTTCCCTTAAGAAAAATGTTAGCAACAAGAAGTGGACCTTTGCTAAAGTCTTCTGAGGTTTTTTTTGTCAGAAATGAAAAGATTAAGGCCTGAGTTGCAAAAAGTGCTGGCAGAAGGGTCTTCAGATGAGGTTATCTTTTTTCTCCTGTGAAATTTCTTACTATGAATAATGAAAATAGACAAATAATTTCTTCTCTCACAAAGCCTGAGATGTAAAAATTTCCACAAGCCTCTGGCAACTTCCTGCAGGGTCACTCTTATTGCTTAGAGGCTCAGTAATTATTGGATGTTCTGAAATCTCAAAATGAATACTGGAGAACTAAAACAAATCATGTATTAGTTTTAATTTCCCTCATAATCTAATTTTCTGTAAATATTTCAGGGCTTATTGGCTTGCAGCAGAGGCAGAGGCATTTTCTAGGTCACCACTGTGGTTGGCAGAGCTGAACACACTCAGGGTTCTGGGAAACAGTACAAGGATCTCAAGGCTGCCTGGGTCTCCCCTGATGGGGACCCAGAGCTCTGGGGTGAGAGGACACCTGGTGAGCGGGGCTGTTAGCTGACATTACACAAATGTGTTACAGAGGTGAGACTAGATCAGCTGGGCTTCCTGGAATCTAGAAGGTAATGCTTTTACTTGAGAAAGAGAAAAGGAAAAAAGATAACAGAAAGAGGAAGGAAGATTCAGCCCAGTGGGGAGAGCTAAGCTCCTGAATGTGCTTCATGGCAAGTTTACAAAGATTGGCACAGAAATGAGAAAACCACCATTTGATTTTTTTTTTTTTTCTTGTCATTTGTTAAGTTTATTCAACTTAAAAGACTATACTTGATTCTGAGATTTCAGGTCTTTTGTGCATTTCTTTAAATTTTCTTTTGTTTTCTGATATTACAGTATCCTCCATTTTGTGTAATAATGGTAATCAAAAAATTAGGTGGCTTTCCTTTAATGTCCTACCAAGAGAAAAAGTTGTCTAACATGTGTTATTAAATTATATTCATATCCATATTCTCATATACAAATGTATAGTCCGACATATATACTCACATGGAGTCTTGGTGTGGCACTGGAGAATAAGCACTGGACTGCCACCACAAGGTGGGTGCTTCAAATACACCAGTTGCTCCTTGGAAACCCTATACAGGGAAACTATGAGTTGAAACTGACTCAACAGCACTTAACAGCAACATATATAAAGATTATATATGTGTTGTTGCTATTGTTATATGCCGTGGAGTCGGATCTGACTCATAGAGACCCTGCACAGGGTTTCTGAGGCTGTTAATCTTTACGGGAGCAGAACACCTCATCTTTCTCCCATGGAGCAGCTGGTAGTTTCGAACTGCTGACCTTGCAGTTCGCAGCCCGATTCGTAACCACTACGCTACCACAGCGCCTTATGTGTAAGCAAATATAAAAACTACAATATGCATACATAGTTTATACATACATTTGTTGTTGTTAAGTGCTGTTGAGTCAGTTCTGACTTATAACGAATGGAATAAAGCCTTTGAGACCTTCATTTGCTATATATATATACAATTCTCATATATGTTTATGTATATATAGGGAGCTCTGGTAGCATATTGGTTATGGTTCAGGTTGCTAAACTCAAGGACAGCAGTTCAAAACTATCAGCCGTTCCTCAGGAGAAAGATGAGGCTTTCTGCTCCCATAAAAATTACAGCCTCAGAAACCCTGTGCAGGGTTGCTGTGAGTCAGAACCAACTCTATGGCACACCACCACCACTGCATACCTATGTACATATAAATACCTATTGGCATATATGTATGAGCTTATATACATACAATATTTTTGTTATGTGTGTCTAGTCGGTTCCAACCCATAGCATCACTCTGTAGGGTTTCCAAGGGGTGACTGGTGGGTTTAAACCAGCAAACTTTTTATTAGCAGTCCAGTGTTTATCCTACATGAAATATACACACATATAGTTCTGTTGTTTTAAATTTACTGGTCAGTATAATACAAAATCTGGAAAAACCACTGAGCAATTTTGTGAACTGCCATCTCCAGAGGAGACAAAATACCACTTAGCTTTTTTACTAGCTTACAGGAAATTATGAGGTAAATCAATAGAAGGTGTCAACTAGATGAGAATTCCTAATCTTTTCCTATCCCAAAGAGCTGACAGTATTGGTAATAATGTATACTCAATGGCATATGCTTCATAGTTACTGTGCAATAAATGGAGAAAGACTTCCTGGTGATTCTTACTAATCTGAACATTTATTAAGTGTTGCTTTACTTACCAAGAGATGTGGGAGAATTAAATCAAATTAACTATATCTGTAGTATTCCAGATATAAAATATGTTGATTTTACATAAAACATTGCTTTGTGTAATTGGATGTGGATTGAACTGAAAAGAAAAAAGAAAAAATCAGCTTTAAGAACTGACTGGAAGCATATGAGAATCTAGGCCACTTGTTGAAAAAAAGCCGAGGCTTCATTTTATTCATTAGCCCAAATTGTTCAAAGCTTTCCTTTATTTCCTGTTGTACACATTTTATTTGACCTGATTAAATGATATTGTAGAAATGTTCACTCAGATACAAACTGGAGTAGTCATGGACTTTCCCCAGCACAGAATCTGGATATAGTCAACATGGCTCTGCTATATGTTCTTGTTGATCGTCTTCCCTTTTTTTTTTTTAAGATTCTGGGTTTATATAAGCAAGAAGCCTCAGAATTTGGACATTTCCATGAAAACAGTCATATTTGGAAATTGTTGGGATTAATTGGAGGCATCCATGGCTTCTTCTTAATAGAAAAATGTTTTGTTCTTCTTGTATCACCAAATGTCAAGGTATATTTAAATTTTGCTTATCTTTTCCTTTAAGATTATATAATAATCTTGTATTTCAGAAGTAATTGATTAATGAAGTTGTCTTTTGTTGTTGTTGTTGTTGTTAGGTGCCATCGAATCAGTACTGACTCATAGCAGCCCCCTGCACAGCAGAATGAAACACTGCTCAGTCCTGGGACAACCTTACACTCTATGCTACACCTGAGCCCATTTCTGCTGCCATCTCATTAGGGGTCTTTCTCTTTTTATCTCCACTTCACTAAACATGATATCCTTCTCCAGGGACTGGTCCCTCCTGATACCATGTCTGAAGTATAAGAGACAAAGTCTGGCTATCCTGGCTTCCAAGAAGCATTCTCACTGTGCTTCTTCCAACACAGAACGTTTGTTCTTTTGGCAGTCCCTGGTACTTTTAATATTCTCCTCCAACACCATAACGCAAATGTATTGATTCGTCTATGGTTCTCCTTACTCATTTTCCAACTTTCACATGCATATTAGGTTATTGACAATACCATGGTTTGGGTCAGGCATACCTTAGTCCTCAAACTGACATCTTTGGTTTTGAATACTTTAAAGAGGTCTTGTGCAGCAGATTTGCCTACTGCAATATATCATTTGATTTCTGACTGCTGTTTCCTTGAGTGTTGACAGTTGATCTGAATAAAATCAAGTCTTTGACAACTATCATCTTTTCTCCATTTATATAGATGTTATTTACTGGTCCAGTGGTGAGGATTTTTGTTTCCTTTATACTAGGAGCTCTGGTAGCGTAGTGGTTACGAATCGGGCTGCGAACCTTAAGGTCAGTGGTTCGAAACTACCAGCCGCTCCGCGGGAGAAAGATGAGGCTTTCTACTCCCGTAAGGATTTACACCCTCGGAAACCCTGTACAGGGTCACTATGGGTCGGATCCGACTCGAAGGCACTTAACAACAACAACATACTGAAGTCCAACCCATACTTAAAGATTTGATCTTCATCACTAAGTATTACAAGTCCTCTTCACTTTCAGCAAACAAGGTGTATCATGTGCATATCGCAGGTTGTTAATGAGTCTTCCTCCAATACTAATGCCACATTTTCTTCACACAATCCAGCTTCTTGGATTATTTTTTCAGCATACAGGTTACATAAGTATGGTGAAAGAATATAACCCTGCCACACACCTTTCCTGATTTTAAACCATTCGGTATTCCCTTGTTCTGTTTGAACAACTGCCTCTTGGTCTATGTACAGGTTCCTCATGAGCACAATTAACTGTTCCAGAATACCCATTCTCCACAATGTTGTCCATAGCTTGTTATCCAAACAATCAAAAGTCTTTGCTTCATCAGTAAAACTCAGGTAAGCATCTTTCTGGTATTCTCTGCTCTCAGCCAAGATCCATTTGATGTCAGCATTGATATCTCTCTTTCCATATCCTTTTCTGAATATGGCTTGAGCCTTTGTAAGTTCTCTGTCACTGTACCATTGCAGTGGACCATTGGGTTATCTTTAGCAAAATTTTTCTTGCAAGCAATATTAATGATATTGTCTGATGATTTCCACATTCCTTTAGATTACCTTTCTTTGGAATGGACACAAAAATGGATCTCTTCCAGTCAATTGACCAAGTAGTTGTGTTCCAAATTTCTTGGCATTGATGACAGAGTACCTCAGTGCCACATCACTTTGCTGAAAGATTTCAATTTGTATTCCATCTATTTCCAGTGCCTTGTACTTTGCCAATGCCTTTAATGCACCTTACACTTCCTCCTTCAGGATCATTGGCTCTTAATAATATGCTACCTCTTGAAATGGTTGCTCATTGACCATTTCTTTTTGATAAAGTGACTGTGTATTCCTTCCATCTTCCTTTGATACTTTCTGCATCAATCAATATTTTGCCCATAGAATTTTTCAACACAGCAAGTCCAGGCTTGTATTTTTGGTTTAATTCCCTCAGTTTGATAAATGCTGAGCATGTTCTTCCCTTTTGATTTTATATCTCCAGTTCCTTGCACATTTTATTATAATGTTTGACTTTGTCCTCTCCAGCTGACCTTTGAAATTTTCTGTCCTGCTCTTGTACATCCTCAATTCCTCCATTTGTTTTAGCATCTCCACACTACAAAGCAAGTTTCAGAGTCTCCTCTGACATCCATTTTGATCTTTTTCTTCTTTCTTGTCTTCTTAATGATCTTTTGTTTTCTTCCTGTAAGATGTTCTTGATGTCATCCCACAACTCTCCTGGTCTTCAGTCTTTAGTGTGTAATGCATCAAATCTGTTCTTCAAAGTATCTTTAAATTCAGGTGGGATATATTCAAGGTCATATTTTGGTTCTTGTGGACTTGTTTTAGTTGTCTTCATCTCCAGCCTGAATCTACATATAAGCAATTGATGGTTTGTTCTACAGCCTGTCCCTGGCCTTGTTTTAGTAGATGATGTGGAGCTTTTCCACTGTCCCTTTCCACAGATGTAACCAATTTGATTTCTGTGTATTCCATCTGGTGAGATTCATGTGCATAGTCTTTTTTGTTGTTGTTTTTTAAAGATATTTGCAATGAAGAAGTCATTGGTCTTGCAAAATTCTATCATGCAATCTCCAGCATTGTTTCTATCACCAAGGCCACATTTTCCAATAACTGATCTTTCCTCTTTGTTTCCAACCTTTGCATTCCAATAGCCAGTAATTGTCAATACATCTTGATTGCATGTTTCATCAATTTCAGACTGAAGAAATTTGTAGAATTCTTCAATTGCACCATCACTGGCTTTAGTGGTTGGTGCATAAGTTTGAGTAATGGTATAAAATGGTCTTCCTTGTAGGTGTATGGATATTTTCCTATCAAAAACAGCATTGTAATTCATGACTAATCTTGAAATGTTCATTTTAATGCTGAATGTAATGCCATTCCTTTAACATTTTTCATTCCTTGCATAGTAAATCATGTGATTGTCAGATTTAAAAAATGGTCAAAACCAGTCCATTTCATTTATCTCACTAATGCCTAGGTTATTGATGTTTATACGTTCCATTTTATTTTTGACAATTTCCAATTTTCCCAGATTTATACTTTGTACATTCCATGTTCCGATTATTAATGGATATTTACAGCTGTTTCTCTTCTTTTTGACTTGTGTGCCTTCAGCAAGTAAAGGTCCCAAGGATTATACTCCATTTGCATCAACATGGTCAACCCCACTTTGAAGAGGCAGTCTTTCCTCAATCGCATTTTGAGAGTCTTCCAATCTGAGGGGCTCATCTTCTGGTATTATATCTGACAATATTCTGGTGCTCTTCATCAGCTTCAATATTCAGTATTCTGATGCTGACAATGATCCACTGCTATTTATAAGGTTTTTCTCAGCTGAACCCTATCCCCTATGGTTGACCCTGCTGAATTAAAATACCCATGGTATATCTTCCAGTATTATAGCAACACACAAGCCAACGCAGTACAACAAACTGCAGATGACTATTGATCTTTTACCATAGATGTAGTCAATTTGATTCCCGTGTATTACTTATAGTGAAGTCTAAGTATATAGTCGCCTTTCATGTTGTTTCAATAAGGTATTTGCAATGAAGAAGTTGTTGGTCTTTCAGATTTATATCATGTGATGTCTATCACTGAGACCACTAACATTGACTTTATTATTTGGTGCATAGATTTGAATAATAGTGATATTAACTGGTTTTCCTAGTGATTTTATCCTATCACAGACAGCATTGTACTTGAAATCATTTTTTATATGCATGCAATTACATTCCTCTTTAATTTTTTTTGTTTGTTTGTTTCTAGCATAGTAAACCATATTGTTTGATTCAAAATGGCCAATACCAGCCCATTTCAGCTAACTAACACCAAAGATATTGTTCTTTATTTGTTTGATTTCATTTTTGACAACTTCCAGTTTTCCTAGATTCATACTTCATACATTCCATGCTTGGATTATTAATGGTTCTTTGCAGCCGTTTCTCCTCATTTTGATTTGTGCCCCATTGGTAAATAAAAATTCTGAAAACTTTACTTCATTGATGTCATTAAGTTCAGCGCTACTTTGAAGAGGCAGCTCTTCCCCCAACTGTTTTTTGAGTGTCTTCCAAACTGAGAGATTTGTTTTCCAGTACTATATCTGACAATATTCTGCTGCTATTAATGATTTCATTTTATGATACTTTATCTGACTATGTTCCATTGCTATTCATGGGTTCTCAGTGGCTAGCCTTTCTGAAGTAGTTCACCTCTCTTTCTTCCTAGTCTGTCTTTGTCTGGAAGTTTCACTGAAAGCTGTCCACTTTGGTTGACCCTACTGTCATTTTTAGTATCTGTGGCATTGCATCCAGCATCACAGCAACACGTAAGCCACCATAGTACAGTAAACTTACAAATGAGTGGTAGTTTTCCATCTTTTGTTGTTGTTAGGGGCCACCAAGTCAGTTCAGACTCACTGTAACCCTGTTCACTACAGAACAAAACACTGCCTGGTCCTGTGCCATCCTTACAATTTTTTAGCCCAATCTTAGGGACATTTGAAATTATGAAAATGAGAAGTCAGGAATAGGATGTTTGCTAGGTTTTTATGTCAGTTTGAGTAATTTCTTTCACTGTGCTGTATTTAATAACCTTCTAAATATATCACAAAAATTAAAAATCACAATGTATATGGGGGCTTCAAAAAGTTCATGGAAACATGGAATTCAAAGATTTCTTTCCTGAACTTTTTGAAGCACTCACATATTGAGTCAGGAACTCATATTTTAAAGGAAATTATGCTAACTGATGATGTGGTTTATCAAGGATCACTTTTTCTTTGCGTTTGCACCATTACTGTATAAGCAAATAGTTTAATTTCAGGAGATTAAGAAAATTGAAAATTTCTTCCAAAGTCCTGTAGTCCTGCATAGGCTTCTACTTCTTATCTAGTTTCTTATCTGTTCCTATAACAACCGGAACCCCAGATAGATAATGTCTATGCTCACGGCAAGCATTAATGGTAGCCCTTTAAAAGAGCAACACTGTTTTCTGCCATGATTCCTAAATGTACTACAGATTCTATTTTACACATCAAAAAATGTTGATGGATAGATAAAAGCATAATATGAGAGGCTTTAAAAAGATCACCAAACAAGGGATGAAAGATAATAGAAATTTTTTCATGAACTTATGAAGCCCTCTTGTAGATGGTTAGATTTGTGATAAAATAAGTAAACGTTATGGTAGCATATAGGAAAGGAATATAAGTATTCATGCTAAAATTCTTTCAAGTTTTCGGTATGTTTAAAACTTTTTAATAGTAAAATCTTATAAAAATGTTTCCTTTTGAACCAAGTAGGGCTGTTCTGTGGCCCAAGGCTCAACCTAAGATTTATAGAAAACATGGAAATTAGGAATACTGGCTTCTATTACAGCTTTTACCTGTAAGGTTTAGGAACTTAATAGCCACAAAAATATTCTAATCTCTATAGGCATAAACAAATAGGTCCCCATTGATACACAACTGGTTATCATTCCCTAGTGAAGGTATCCAAGTTAGAAAGCCAATACATTTGTTTATGCATAAATGTTAACTGTGAATTCAGGAGGAAAATGATGAAAGAAAGTCTGAACACTCAATAATGTAAAATGTATTCAGCTCATGCATGTGGCTTTGGGGGAATAAAACTAGCTTTTAAGGACAAAAATTTTTAAATTTAAGCTGTGTGAAATAAAAAGAAAGCAAATGCTTTATTAGATACAATGCTTTAGTTGGTGCATATATTTCTGGAGATACTATTTTAGTAACTATAGTATAAAATACAGTTTCTATTTTTATCATTTTAATAACTCCATGAGAAAGAATGAAATTTTTCATATTGTTGTAAGTGTAATTTTTCAGTCAATATAATTTTTATTTTGTTGAAGATAATATAAAATACTACTATTTGTTAAGCCTTTTTAAAATATAGCTAGACATTCTTTGAATTTGGATTCTTAAATCTTCCTGAATATGTATGATGTTTCAGAGCAGGCCTGGGTTTCTGAAAAATAAAACATATTAACAAGTATTTATCACAGTGAGATTTTCCCCAGTACTCTTTTTGTGCCTCCATCATTTTGGCCTGGGAGCAAATACTAAATTGAATCAGGAATCAACTAAGTCTTCAACTGTGGTACCCTGCTTCACCACTAATTGTCAACCATCCTTTCCCTGCAGGACTCTTCTTTGGTTAATGGACATGTGGGGCAGTCCCATCATCTTGCACTGGACTCTGAGTTAAGTGACCAGTCTGGCAGAAACCAATCTACTTCAACTATCAAGTTGGTAGGTGACTGATCTGAAGCATCCTTCTGATTCAACTTTCTTCTGTCCTTCATTCCTTAGTGTTGTTGTTGTTGTTGTTGTTAAGTGCAGCTGAGTCAATTCCAACTTGTGACCCTCTATAGGGTTTTGGAAGAGTGGATGGTAGGTTTAAATGCGGACCTTGTGGTTAGCAGTCTAGTGCTTGTCCTACAACACCACACCAGCACTTATTAACAGATGAAAATCAGTAGAATAGATGAATAGAATTCACTTCTCATATGTCTATTCTTAATCATGATAAATATTGTTTGGAAAGTTGTGTCAAGTGCCTGAAAGTTGTTTTAAAAAGTAAAACACATTTTCCATATATTGAAATCATTGCTATCTGCACTAACTTGAAATGTGTATGGGTCAGATTCACAAAATATACGCTCCCTTAGTCATTTAGTTTACAAGTTTTCATGAATTATTTGACCTTTTAGATTTTCCACTGAGTGATTGCTAGCCATGACTAGGTGGCTGCAAGGAATTATTCAGTGTTTCTAAGGGTAGGGTGTTCATTTCAAAATGCAGGAAAGGATTGATTCTGCTAACTGAACTGTTTTACACCAAGTGTATTCTGCTGTATTGAGTTTTCCTAAAAATTTCCCACATTAATTCTCAAAACACAACCTCCAGTCAGATTCATAACAATGTTTCTATTTGAATTAAGGTAACTGAAAAGGAGCTCTGGTAGCGTAGTGGTTACTAATCGGGCTGCTACCTCACGGTCAGCAGTTCGAAACTACCTGCTGTTCCGCGGGAGAAAGATGAGGCTTTCTGCTCCCGTAAAGATTTACAGCTTCGGGAACACTGTACAGGGTCGCTATGGGTCAGAACCGACTCGATGGCACTTAACAACAACAACAACAAAAAGTAATGGAGGGGGAAAATTCCCATGAAAGTAAAATATAATTTTGTTAGAAAACTTGCTCTCTATAACCCTGCCCTTAGGATAGATCCCCATGCCTGAGTATCAATAAACAAGCCATTCCTTAGATGTTAACATAGCAAAATGGAATCTGGCAGTAAATTTCTTATCTAGAGCTAAATCTGTGATGCCAGAAGGAAACCTTTTGAAACCTTTATTGTAATTTGTTGTTTAATCACAATATTTGAAACATGGGTCATACGAGGAAAACTTTAAGCTGGAATTTGTTTTAAAAATCACTGTAATTTTGATTTCTGTTTCAAGGAAGAATCTGTCTGTAGTCCCCAAGGTACAATGGAAGTTCATAAAGTTTGTGGAAAAATGTGGAGTGAAAAGATAACAAAATTTTTTCACATTTTTTTTTTTTTTATGAAGGTTTACATTCAGCAAACTTCCTTTCATCCCAATGATTGCAAGCCCCTCAAAGTAATAACACTTATCCAGTTTTCTGTGTTTCTTGTTTCCATCCTCTTTCTTTCCCAACTGAGCTTTGTGAAAGAACTGAACTTCTTTCCCTTCTGAACTTTTTAGTGGGTAAATGTTTCTACCTTGGTCTCAAATGATGGACTGTTCTATGGTTTGAGTACCTCATGAGTGGTATCCCCCTCATAGATCTATCCATTGCTTGGCTGAAAAATGAGTCTGGGTAGGGAGTTCAGTTCCAGATCTGAAGGGGGACCAAAAGTCACAGTCTTGGAGTTCCACTAGTCTCTATCTGACCAGTAAGATAGAGACTATGATTTTGAGTTTTGTTCCACGTTTTCACCCCTTTATCCAGGACCTTCAAGTATGAATCCTTTCAAAGCAGTTCCCACAAACTTTTTGAAGTCCTCTTTGTTCATATGATAATATCGCTGGTGCTAATGAAATGAGTTTTAAATCATTTTTAACTCTCCAGCTCACTGATACATCCACCATTCCTTTTGTTATTTAAGCTACAAGCGCAACCTAATGGTGAAATAGCAATGATAGGGAATTTTAGGATTACTTGATGGATTCAAGTTCCTTTTTTTTTTTTTTTTTTCATGCCGGTAGTATAGTAGAGATTGAAGGAAGGGAACTAACAATTCTTTCCCATCTTCAAATTGTCTTGGATGTTTGATTTCAAATCAAATACAAATGCCTTTACCTTCTGTGACAAGGTATAACTTTTTGTTGTTTTTTAAGCAGCTTCTAGAGTCAACTAATACTAGAACTCCTTTCTTAATGGAATTATTAAGGCTTTTGATTCTAATTTGGACTAACAAAGCATCACATTGTTTTTCTTTGTTTCTAGATCCATCTATTTCAGTCAAGAGACCTGACTTCCTCCTCTACTACTACCTCCTCTATTACCCATGTCTCCTGCAGGCCCCACCAATGTTTCTGCAGCTTCACAACCATCCTTCTCCAAAACATCCTCTCATTATGAGGGAACTTCAAACTGTTCAAGGAAAAAAAACACTATCTTTTAAGTCCATTTCCCCACAATCTTTTTGAAGTCCCTTCATATATCTTTTGAATAACTCTGGCTATTAACACATGTGGGCTTTAAGTTAATTTTCTCTCTTTTACATACTAAGAGATGCTTATGTCTCACAATAAATTTGTTTCAAAGTTTTAACAATTTTACATGATAGAATAGAATGAATGCTCTTTTAAAAGGACATGTCCGACAGGTGAAAAGGATTTTTTTTTTTTTTCACATAATAAGAGTAAGGATTTGAGGCAAGGGGAGGTGAAATAACATCCCTGGAATTGAACTTTGAGTCAGTCTCAGAAACAAAATCATGTAACCTTAACCCATAATATCGGAACCAGCCTCAAACACATTTGGCATGGAAGAGGATAAAATAATAATAATAATAAATTAAAGCCATTATAATTGCCTTTCATGAATCTGTTGATCAACTTTCTTAATTGGCAATATTCTGTTATTGTTTGGCAAAGCAACAGAAACAGAATATGTATGCTACTAAGACTGTAATGAGGTATTGCGTTTGCATGGGTCTCTTCTCTATCCAGAATACACCAACTGCTAAGGTCAGAAAACAAATCCCAGATCCATAATCCTTCCACACAGGAATAGTGTCAAATTAGGTCAAGAATCATTTTTCCCCTACAGATTTTGAGTTTCACAAAAGCTTTCATAATTGAAGAGTCTGAAGCACAGACTGTCTTGCTCTGTATGGAAGATTCTGAACTACCTCAGTGTGTTGTTTTCATCTCAATATAGATAGTGCAATAAGCGTGCTCTGCTTCCAGATCTTCAACCTTAACTTGTATGTTTGTCTGAATTTAGAAGTTCTAATAAACATCTGGAGTCCTGGTGTGGTACTGCAGGGTAATGCACTGGACCAAAAAGTCAGTTCGAACCACAAGGTCGATGGTTCAGACTCACCAGCTGCTTCTTAGCAACCCTACACAGGGTCACTATGAGTCTGAACCAACTCCACAGCACCTAACAACAAATAAATATCCAGTGAGGGATCCTGGTGGTAGAAAAATGGAAGTGCTCAGCTGCTAACCAATAGGTGAAAAGATTGAACCTACCTGCCACTGGGCAGGAGAAAGACGTGGCAGTCTACATTTACAAAGAGTGTTGCTCTGTGCCATGAAGTAGATGACAAATGTAGCACCCCTATAGGATATAGTAAAACTATCCCATAAGGTTTCCTACGCTATAATCTTTATGGGGGATATGGTATCATAGGATGAGCATTGGACTGCTAAATACTAAGTCAGAAGTTCAAACTCACTAGCTGCTTCTCAAAAACCCTATATAGGGTCACTATGAATCAGAACTGACTTGACAGCACTTAATGACAACAATTTTTATGGGAGCAGAACCCCTGGTCTTTCTTTCATCCCATGGAGCTGCTGGTGGGTTTGAGATGCCTACTACACTTGACTATTGCTTCACCTGGGCTCATCTCTGTAAATATTACAGCATTGGAAACCTGTGAGGCAACTCTAGCCTGCTGTATAGTGTCACTATGAGCTGGTGAGATGCATCTCCTTTTGCACCAGGGCTGCCACTCCAAGTGGGCTGAAAATCTTGGATGGGCCCCTAAATTTGTGAGAAATGTTGTCGATTACCTGGATACTGCCTCCGTCCCTCTTGGTTATGAGGTCACTGTTGAGTGCTTGCCAACAAATGTGCAAGAAATCCAATTTTTACTTATTTTGTCGAGAGTGAGGCTTTTCAATTCGATTTTGCAAAATAGGATGCCAAATCCAGAAGCATTTGCAAAGCATTTTATTCTTTTAGCTTGAGAAAGTCCCTTCCCTGGTTCCTCATTGACTGAATACAACAGGGTTAACAATCTTTCCCACATGTCTCCTACCTTCTCTTGATAGTAGCATTCTTATTTAAGGTTCCTAGTCATCTAATAGGTTCCTTTCCCCCTCCCCCAATTCATCCCAGTCACATACCTCAGTGTATAGGCCACTATTGCTATGCTGATCAACAATCTATGTCTGGTCTAACAATTTCCTGGACCCCCTTATTCCTAAAGATGGACCATCTTGAGGATTAATTTTTCACACATATCTGCTATTAAGTTCTGGGGAGTTGGTTCCAACTCATAGTGATCCTGTATAAGATTTCAGGGAATCAACTGGTGGGTTTGAACCACCAACCTTTCTGTTAGCAGATCTTAGAGAATCTTAGAGCATTGTTGTTGTTAAGTGCCATTGAGTCGGTTCCAACCCATAACAACTCTAGAGCGGCTAATAAGCTTGAACCATTGATTTTGCAGTTCAAACCAACTTTGCAATCCTGTGCATTTAGCCCACAGTGCCACACCAGGACTCCTCCTAGAATATTAGCATCCCTTCTTAAACTTAGTATAAACTTTTGGTGTTTTATTTTTAATGAAAACTATGTATTTTTCATCAGTTATCTTTTAATTTTAAATAGAAAAGCCCAGAAGATTCACAGGCAACTGAAATTCCAGTAGGCATTATGGCAGCCTTCACCAGAAAATGTGAGTACTGATTTTTTAAAAAAGTTATACTATAACTGTAGAAAGCACCATGGAAAATACTTACACCTATTTAAAATTAGTTACGACAAAGCAATATAGATTATATATTAGGCATGACTTTGTTTTGTTTTTACTGTGAATTAAGTGAAAGTTTACAGGGCAGATCATCAGTTTTACATTCAACAAATTATATACTTTGTTTCATTACATTGATTATAATCCCCTCCGTGTGTCATCAGTTAACAGTATTTCTCTCTATTCATTTGAGCTCTTTTTGTTAAACACTCAGGCATATATAATAATAGACATGCCTTTCATTATTAAAATTTCACAACGAAAAAGACTATTTTTATCCATTTCTCAAATATACTACTCATTAATATAAATACTGTAACCTTTAAGAATGATGCTTTCCTTTCTTAAAGATAGACTTTATTTATAGAGCAATTTTTGGTTTACAGAAGAATTGTGCAGAAAATACATCATTCCCATATTTCAAATCTTGAAATCATGCAATACATTTGTTATAAGTGATGAAGCAATATTGATTAATTAATTGCAGTCCATAGTTTACATTTTGGCTCACTTTTTGTGCTGCACTATTGTTTGTGACATAGCCATAAGATCACACATGGAAAAAAATCACATGCGGTCACATTAACATTCCACTTATACAAAATAAATATAAACACATCTATAAAGAAGAAATGATAATTTCTCCAGTCATTTAAAACTGTACTTACAAAATAATGCTTGCCTGATGATTGAGCTTTTTGGTTTCCTTTGAAATCTAGAGACAGTCACATTGTCTATCATTTGTTGTTGTTAAGTGCCATTAAGTCGATTCCGACCCATAGTGACCCTGTATAGGGTTTCCAAGAAGAAACTGGTGGGCTTGAACCACCGACCTTGTTGTTCAAATGACTTTGCAGTCTGACGCATTAGTCCACAGCACCACACCAGGACTCCATTAATTGTCTATCATAGTCTACTGAAAATGCCTCACAAATATTTGTCTTTTTTATGACACTGTCATTGAGACACTGAAGTTTAAATCAGTGATACTAAGTGCTGTGCAGTCAGTTCCAACTCATATTGACCCTGTGTAGGGATTCTAAGGAATGGCTAGTGGGTTTGAACTGCCGACCTTGCAGTTAGCAGTCCAGTGCTTATCCTATAGAGTCACACCAGAACTCCATAATATAATTTAATAAAAATGTTGTTGTTGTGTGCCGTGGAGTTGGTTCCAACTCATAGCAACCCTGTATAGGGTTTCCGAGGCTGTAAATCTTTACGGGAGCAGAAAGCCTCATCTTTCTCCCACGGAATGGCTGATAGTTTTGAACTGCTGATCTTGAGGTTTGCAACACAATTTGTAACCACTATGCTACCAGAGCTCCTTTTAATAAAAATAGCCACCACTTATTGGACACTCATTCTATGCCAGACACAATGCTAAGCACTTGACATGGATTATCTCTTTTAATTCTCTTACTAATTTCATGAATTAAGAATAATTATTATGTAAATTATACACATGAAGCATTGAGATTAACTAATAGCCCAGGATTACATAACTGGTAAACAACAGTCTTGGGAAACTAAAGAAGTGCTAATGTACCAACTATTTCTTTGTGATCACTTGTTCAGGCATAATCTTAAATTCTTTCATTCATTTAAGATATGTTTAAATGCATATACATATATTGGGGGATAAGATAACACTGGTTTTATCCCAGTTTGCAATGTAGTTGAGTATGTATGTACTAATAAGAATAATTACTTTTATACTTATCACTATTCTAAATAAATTAGATATTAACTCATGTGGTTTGTTTATTTTATTCAAATTATCAATTTCATATGCTATTCAATTCTATTTTCAGGACATTACTAATAATATCTTTTCTCTGACATTTTTACTTGTTGGAGTAATTTGGGAATTCCTGGCATGAGTAGGTCCACAGTAGGCTTTTTTGTTGTTTTTATCTTCAAAGGAAAGGAAAATTAAAATTTTACTTCAATGCCAAGTAAAATTAGGAACAGGGAGCCTATGATAGGTCAGGAAGTAATGTTTGTGTTATTCAAATATTCTGTGGATCTGATATCTTTCCACTTCAGATATCAAGCTTGGCATACAGCGTGAATAGTGAACAAATCCAAATTAGATTACTTAACTGCCCTTTTGCCAGGCACAGATTGAATTAGTCTCAAATATTTGTTACTTGCTTTATATTACCTCACTGGTGGAACTTGTGTTTCAAAAACACAGGATTGGAATATCTTGCCCAAAGTCTGATTTAAATAAACAAAAAAGCAAAATGAAACAAGTTCCAACACATACATTACTATGGAAAACAGTTGATAGTTTAGAAATGATACTCAATATGACTGCCAGGAATGCAAGGAAAGGTAAAATGTTGTCGATAATTTTGCAATGAGTACATTACATTACCAATGAATGCCTGTCATTCTCTTCCACTGAATAAAACAAAAATTATTTTAAACATTATGTAAAGTGTGTTCCTTGTGGCTCACATAGAAATATGCATTATTTCCTTTTAGCTTATTACAGAGCCTTAATTTAAAATTAAGAACCTATAATCAGAGAGAATAAAATAATAGACAACAAAATAGGTCACACTGTTTTCCACAGAGTATATAATGGGCAAAAAAATCTTCCATTTGAATATAGGCTATTAATATCAACACTACATGTTTATTGTTGTTGTTAAGTGCTATCAGGTCGGTTCTGACTCATAGCGACCCTGTATAGTGCTTTTGAGGAGCAACTGATGGGTTTGAATTACCGACCTTGTGGTTTGTAGTCAAGTGCTGATCCTACACTACCACATCAGGAGTCCAAAGCAAATGCTGTAGCAGGTCCCACCAAGACTTGAACTAGGAGCACTGGATTCAGAGTTCAGAGTACTAGCCATTACATCATGTTGACATACAGAAATCCCCGCCTCCCTGCCCCCCCCCCCCTTTTTTTTGCATGCTTCCATATCATTCATATCTTTAAGGGGGGAGTCCTGGTGTGGTGCTGTGGGCTAATGCATCAAACTGAACTCATTTGAACTGCAGGGTCGGTGGTTCAAGCTCACCAGCTGCTCCTTGAAAACCCTATACAGGGTCTCTATGGGTCGGAATCAACTCGACGGCACTTAAAAACAAAAACATACCTTTAAGAGTATTATTTAAATTTTTTCTTTTTCTTTCACAAAGAACAACTTTTATATCTGAAAACTGGCCGGAACAGCTGGCAAAATTATTAAACACTGAGTATTTCCAGGCAATACCAATAAGAACTCTGAATTCACTAATTAGATTTTCATTCTGTGCTTTTGTGACTATTGTCTGGAATCTGCACGTTTTTTACAAAGAATAAAGTTAATCAGTAAACTCAAAAAGGATATAAACTAGTTTGTGTGGCGCTGTGGGTTAATGCACTGGACTGCAAAGCTGTTTGAACTGCCAACATAGGTGGTTCAAGCTCACCAGCTGCTCCTTGGTAACCCTATACAGGGTCGCTATAGGTTGGAACCGACTCAATGGCATTTAACAATAGTGATATTCCTAAACAAGCATGGTTTTTAGAAGCAAAATCCATCAATACCTTTCTAAGTTAGGTGATGAGCTATCTTCTGGTTTATAGTCTTGGTAATATCTGGTGTTTCCTGAAGCTGCTTGGTTGTTACGTTTCATTGAGTTGGTTTCAACTCACAGTGATCCTGTATTGGGTTTCTGAGAGTGTATATCTTTATAGAAGCAGAAAGCCTCATCTTTCTCCATTGGAGCCACCTGGTGGGCTCAAACTGCTACTCTGTGTCTTACTGTCCATGCTTACTGTACAAAGCCACCAAGCTGTCTATTTTATGGTATGTGATATGAAATGAATCAGATCATACAAAATAGTGGTGGTGGTTATATGCCATGGAGTCGGTTCCAACTCATAGTGACCCAGTACAGGGTTTCTGAGGCTATAAATCTTTACGGGAGCAGAAAGCTTCATCTTTCTGCTACGGAACAACTGGTAGTTTCGAACTGCAGACCTTGAGGTTCGCAGCCCAATTAGTAACCACTACGCTACCAGAGCTCTTTAAAATGAAATAGTAGATAACATTATAATATAGTCCCTCCCTCCTTGCAATCTTAAATAATGTAGTTAGCTTAAACCAAGGTAACTTTCTCATTTATTTTATTGAGCCTAAAATTATGACAATAAAGTGTCCAGTTCTACAACAACAGTAGCTACTACTTATGCCGGGGACGGCCTCAACACAGATGTTTGGTTCACGAGGTGGGGATATCTGGCAGTGATAAAGATATGGAAAGACACACAAGGACACAACGAGAGAGACAAAGAGACACCCCAAAACCAGAGTGGATGTGGGACTGGCATGAGGCAGATCCTGCATTGCAAACATCTCAGCCATGAAGGCTGTAATATCCTGCATAGTAAACATCTTGGCTAAACAGGCAGTATGGTTGCAATGCTGGACTGAGCCCCCTGCATGCTGTAACACATGCCTTGCCAGTCGTAATGCACCTGGATTCGTTCTGCGCCTCCATTTTATTTAGGGGAGGTACTGTACACAAAGCTGGGCGGGACTAAGACAAGGTACAGCTAACATACGTAATTTTCCAGACATTCAGGCAACTTTACATTGTACTTCACAGGTTCAAATCTCACGACCGCAACTTGGTTTCTCAAGCTTAATTAACATACCTTTTAGCACCTAGCCTCAAATGGGGGAAAGAAAAGGAAGATTGGGAGGATTCCCATTGTGTCGGCTACCCAGCCCAGGTTCTCCAGGAAAAGAGATGCCTGGGTGAATAGGGCTGCACCTGAAAACACTTTAGGGAGGGCAGTCCTATTGTCCTTAGAACAAAGACTGGGGAGCCACCCAATTTACTTTGACTGAATTCTTTGAGGGAAGAACTTTGCCTATTTGGAATTTTACAATCTCGGCTTTTAGGAAAATATTACATTTATC